TGCTCTAATTTTTCTTCGAAGTTAGTATGCACTTGTAACTTTGCGTTGTCATGCCAACTAAGCCCATTGATGTTAGGTTATTTCTTGTCTACATTGTACAGTGTACATGTTGTACCACGCTCATTCTTGCCTTAGACGTCATCTAGGTGTCTGGAAATATTTCTAAATACATAAATGCATAGATAAACGACCAGAAGAAGCGGAATGGCGTGTTATGGCTACGATTATAGGAACTCTTATATCGCGGTTTATCACGCATACCTTTCTCAAAACTTCCAGTCAATGAAAATAAATTGTCTGGCGCCGAGTTGGCTGGCGCATTCAACAATTACTTCAACTTAATGGCACGTGGTGATTCGTCGGCTGCTTGCCAATATGTGAGCATTCGAAATGATTTATCAGTTTCTGTAGCCGTTCGCCGAGCATGCAGTAAAATCGGTCATAAAACACCTCAATAATAGCAGCAGCACTGATATTGACAGCCTTAAATACGGCCTGCGAAGCACGGCGTTCATACTATCGCACCGATTGTCTGTGATATATTTAACTCCTGTTTAGTGATAGCCGTTTTTTCCGTCACAAAGGCAAGTAGCTAGAATTACAGTGCATTACAAAAAAGTTGATTAAAATGATCTGGACAACTACAGATTAGTTTACATTCTGCCAGTATTTTCAAATCGTTTGATAAGCTTTTGCACACGAGACTTATTGATATCAAGATCTTATCGAGATTTATCGAGATTTATTGAGAAGCGTAACTCGCTAAAAATTCACCAATTCGCTTTCCGTAGGAACAAAACAAGCAAACTGGCTTCACTTAATTGAAAAGATTATATTCGTGCACAGTTTGAAAACAAAGCTATTGTTGTTGGGGTGTTTGTAGATTTTCAAAGTCGTTTTACTTGGTAACTCATAACATTTTGCTAGAAAATTGAACTAGTATGGCATTCGGGGTCGGGTCTTTATGCTATTAAAAAATATTTATATAATCGAAAACAAGTCGGGCAAATAAATTGTATACGCATTAAGGCTGAATGTGTGCTTTGTGGTGTGCCACAGGTAGGATATTAGGGCTACTAATCTTCAACGCTTATCTGAATGGTATTGCAAATATTAGCGCAACAGCCGAATCTATTATATATACGGATGGTACTACTATATGTTTTACTGGCTATGACATTCATGGGCTCATAGATAAATGTAATGCTGCATTGAAAACACTGGGAAAATTGTCACTATCTAATTCTATGAAAGCAAATGCAATCATAAAGACAGTTGTATTCTGATAAAAAAACAAGCCCATTCCCACACGCCATTTTATAATCCTAAACTCATGCCGGATGGAGGGCATAATGCATTTCAAGTGTCTCAGTGTTTTATTTTCCTATGGCATTTCATGGGAAAATCGCGTTTAGCACTTACTAACGACAATATCTAAAATTACTGCGTAAGTTGATTGCATTAGACACATGCTTTCCACACGAATTAAGGTGCTTCTTTAAAATTCACTTTTTAGTTCGCATATAAGATATTGCCAACTGGTGTTAGGGGGGGTGCAACAACATTTTCAAATTTAGAGCATGTTTACTTAAAACAAAATAAATATATGCGGTACAGTGATAACGCGACATATGCTACACCAAGTGCGATTTTCTTTCATCGTTTCCTCGTGGTCAGAGCCTACAAACTATACAGATATCGTTTGAGTGTCCGCTATCAATAGAACAGACACAAAATGATATTAATCGCATATGTAATGTGGCCCCATTGCAAATAAAAAGCTTTCGCTATTTAGCAAGATATGAAAAAAGAACTTGACACTACCTTCACTCGACTAAACTCTGGAACATAATGCCTCTGTTATTCATTGCCCTCCCTATTAAATAGCTATCACCTTGTTAATTTTTATATATACACATGTAGGTACACTGAAATTCGCGGAATGTACGAAAGAGTGGAAAGCTAATTTTGTTTGTGCTTTTAAGATATGCTAAAATAATTTTGTTAATTTTTGTGTTCAGCTCTCTAATTACTGTCTTAATGAATTAAAATGTTACTGTTTTCGATACGTTTTTGGTGGCTTTCGTTGCTTTTGTGATTGAATTGCCTCTATTACTGTGTAATATTTTGTGTAATTTTATCTTACTTTTTACCCCAGCTTTGTACTTTAAGGGGCTGACGACAACCTTCTCGGACAACTTTTCATCTTCAGTTCCCACCATACTTACATGGTAAAGAAAGCTATTATTATTATATTATCAGGTGTCACACCCCCCCCCCCCTCTCCTAGGAAAAAAAAGAAAAAGAAATGAGAAGTTTTTTGCGTATTTTTAGGGAATGCGGTAGCATGACCCATGGGAAACAATAAATTTCCCTCTTTGGGAAACCCTAGCGCTTCACTTCTCTGTTTTGAATTTTTCTGTTGGCTTTCTCATATGCTTCCTCTATTTTTGCCGTCACTTTTTGTACTCGTTACGGTGGATGTCCGCGGACTTCGCCAAGGATCATGCTAACGTATTCCCTGAGAATAAACCAATGGTTTTGCTCATTTTTAACCCTTTCTTTGTACTCTGCCTGTCAGAGCACGTCGACCCACTCGGATATGGTCATTCGTATCACTCGTGGAAAGAACAACATCCATACAACTCGTGAAAGAAACGGACTTCATATCACTCGCGGAGGGAACCGCATCCATCGTTTTACCCACGGGACACGCACCGCAACTGCGCAAATCCAGAGCGAAGAACGTCAGAGGACGGCAAAGCGGTTAACTGAGCGCGCCCGCATTCCACCGCGCCGCGGCGCCTCTTCATCTCTGGCTTCGTCTGGCTCCGCGCCAGCAATGCGACTTTCTTTTCTAGAAAACGAAAACCATAGTTTTGACGAAAACCCGGCGGTGTCCCTAGTTTGTCAGCGCCGGGGAGATAAGGAGAGGGAAAGGAGGAGGATTACGCGCCCTGCAGTTAAACCTTCTGACCAATGCGAGCGCTGCACGTGTGAGGCTCTCCCACCTTTTTCCTTCTCTCCCCAGTGCTGACAAACTAGCGACATCGACGGCTGTTCGTCAAACGAGCGTTCCAATGCTAACGAATTAAAAAATAAGTTTGTGTCGATACAGCGTAAGGTCGGTCCGCGTTTGGGCTACGGCGACCCTGATTTATGCTGCAGATGAGAAATATATCCAGCGCAGTACCACTGATACCGAAAAGAATTCCTGGAGAAGGGAAACAAGGAGGACAAACGACAAAGCATGAATCTCTAAACATAGCTTGGTGACTGGTGCGTAATCGAAAAAATCTGCCCGGTTAAGGTATCGAACCCAGGACCTCTCCATGTCCAGTGGAGCGCTCTCAAAACTGAGCTAACCAGGGGTTAGACGTCAGTGGAGCAAACAGGTTTTTTCAGCTGCCACCAGTCTAACACCAAAAAGAGGGAAAGGCTTGCATTTTAAGGTTATGATTATAAATCAATTAAATGCAAAGGCGCAAGCGATAGCTGGACAAGAATAACGAAAGCAATCCCTGGAGAAGCTGAACAAGGACGACAGAGGACAAACACAACACAAGTTGGGAGAGCGCTTCGGAAATGAAGAGTTCCCGGGTTCGATACACGGACCAGGCAGATACTTTCGGTCGCGCACCAGCCGCCTAGTTGTGTTTAACGGTTTGTGTTCGCCCTTTGTCCTCCTTGTTCCCCTTCTCCAAGGATTGTTTTCGCGTTTCTTGTCCAGCTCGCTTGCACCTTTGTATTTAATTGAATTATAACCACTGATAGCCCGGAGCTTTTAACGTGCATCCCGCACTAGTCATGCACAAACACACGCCGGCCCGATGCTTGCCCAAGTCGTTATGGGAAATAGTAGTCCTTAAATGTGTACCAAGGTAGTGCAGCGCAAGTACTCGCTTCCCGTGCTGCTAGCTGCGGTGCGCTAACACGCTTGGCGCTCGATTGTCTGGAATGGCTCGTAGCATCAGCTACGATCTGTCGCTCGCTGAAGCGAGTAGATATTTAAACCAAGAAAAAATAATATTTTTCAGTGTTTCTTTTGCGAAACAATACTTTAAAAAAAACGAAGAACAAAAAAAAATATCGACGACTGTCAGTGTGTTTGTTGGTTTGTTTCGCGATTGCATAAAAACTGTAGCCGCTATTGGAGTTGCGAAGCGACGCGAAGGCCGAAACTTGAGCAACTGGCGAATGGACGCCGATCTCCCGGAGCTTTGGACGCCTGCCTGGGGAGGATATATATTTCTTTCTGATTTGTTTTCCAGCTGCGGTATCCCGCCCGTTTTTTTTTCAGTTTTTTTTTTTTTTTTTTTGTGTGTTTTTGCCACCGTTTTACTCTCCTCTTTCTTTCTTGACTTCAATTCCGTCATTCGAGGAGGTAGTTTGCGAGTACGCGGTGGGGCGCGAGTGTCGCGGTGTCACTGTGTGCTGGCCGATTGACTTCAAATGTGAGTACTGGACTTTGGTAGAGTTTTCTAGCGTTTGTATGACCACGTAGTTTATTTGTAATTGTTTCTAAGATAAAAAGTCAAGGTCAGAAAACAAAATTAAGCACATTTTGGCTTTGTTCTCGATTCCACGGCGCGGCGTTTGTTGATCACTTTCTGTTTTATTTTTAGTACAGATGACGCCGAGATGAACGCTATTTTGTTTTCGTAACCACAAAAAGCTGTAAATGTTTTTTTTGTTTTGTTTTGTTTTTTGCGCGGGATGGGGGGGGGGGGGGGGGGGGTCGCCAGGCGACTTTGGTCTAAGCTATAGATATTAATCGGTGTGAACCGGTTCGCGCTTGTTTATACCGGTTACCGAATTGATATTTGGAAGACATCACTGAACCGGAGTGGGACCGCAACAAAATGCATAGCTACTGAACTCAACCGGAATCCAACCGCTGTAATGGTCGGTTAAACACCCTGATGAGAACGTCGTGCTCCACACTTTGTAGTATTATCCAGGGACAAATATCATGAAAAAACTTTTTCGTAACAGCGTACCCTTTGTGCATACGTTCGTCCAAAAAGGATCCTCTGTAGTCGCATCACCACTCGCAATTTCTGGATCTAAAACAAAGATATATAAAGTTTGATTTTTTTAGACTCGGACAAACGACACAGGAAACAACAACCTGCTAAGGTAAAAAGTTTGCGACGTCTGTCTTAACTGACTACCCTTGATAACGCTTTTAATCTTGCCATTAGCCTCTCCTGCTATTTCCGTATATAACAATTACCGGCTATTAGGCATATCTTATCAATGTGAAAACGGGCGATTACTTTCATAGATTGAGTAATGCACCTGTAATGCAGCAAGAAGCGATGCAGCAACTAACGTGTCTTGGCTGCGTTTAAAGAGTATTATTGCAATTAAGGCGGGTAAGACCTGAAAATAAATACGAAAATTATTCTGGAAATCGAATGCTCATAAATACATTTTTGAATTTTTTCCCTAATACAAGTATTTTTTGGTGTTTTCTTTTATTTTGTGGGGAGATGAATGATTATTTTTTCTTGGATTCCGCAATTGTTGTGCAAACAGGTACAATTGTAACCAATTTAAGCAGAAAACACGTGTTCCTAAAAAAAAAAAAACAAAAAGAAAGAAAAAACGAAAAAACGAAACTTTAGTTATAGGTCACTTAGCATGTACAGCAAGTTTTCCGATTTTTAGAGCTCTAGTAATTGCACTACCCAATGTAAGAAGATCCCAATTTACGATCCTTTACGAGAGGTAGAACGTGTAGCTCCCGTAAAAGGATCTTGGCGTGTGTGTTGACTGCGCTTTAACTTTCAAAAATCATGTGTCTTTACTCGACGGAAATGCTTATAAAGTACTAGGAATAGTATCTCACTTTACGCCTAAATTTAAAGAACCCCTTTCATTGATACACCTTTTTAATTTCCTAGTGAGGTCGCGACTTGAGTTTGCTTCTGTCAAAAAGAACTCGATATCTAAGACACCGGCTTTAACAACCGAACATGTTCAGAAATATTTTATCCGAATTGTTTACGATATGTACTTTGAGAGGCGCTTTTGCTGTAAGTATGAACATCCACTTCAAATGTTTTTACTTTCACTTCTGTCTGCCAGAAGATCTGTTCGAGACTTTGTTTTTCTGCACAAGGTTGCTAATAGCGCATTTGATTCTCCGCAACTCCTTGAAAGGGTGAATTTTTATGCTCCTTCACGTTTAACCAGACATTTCGTTTGCTTCTATGTTCACTCACTGTGCAACGCGTCACCTCTCTCTCGGATTCAGTCAATATATAACGTCGTCGCTCCACCCCACCTTGATATATCTGCACCTGTTACAATGTACCGTCGCCATTCGGATAATTTTACATTTGTCTCTTAACTTTCTGTGTGTTTAGGATTTTTCGCTTGCTTGCTGGTTTTATTGTTTCTGTTGGTGCACCAAGGGGAAGACCGATGTGGTTGTTTTCAGGCAGCCAAAATAAAGTTACTATTATAATTATTATTATTATATAGAGCGTTGGTCAATTTTGTCCCGCGACCAGGCAACACTGCCCCAGTCAGTCACGTCCGGTGCCCATAAATCACGTGATCAAGGTATTTAGTTGAAGGCTTACTCATTGCAGGTGCCCCATTCTGGCCCAGCTCGCCTTGTCACGGTGCGATCGCACACACTCACGCTAATTAGCTACTTCAACGTACACTCTTGCTCTCGTCCCCTTGCCCTTTGATCTTCCAACCAGCTTGCACGTGGGCGATCGTCTCGGGCGTCGGCGAGTTCGTTCCTTGCGATCTCGTCATCATCGCTGGAGCAGGTCGCGAGCCGGTCGAAGTCGAAATGACCGTCCCTGGCCCAGCTAAGACGGAGCGATTTCTACCAGCTACTTGATGTCGCACCACCAGCTTAATGTCGCAACCCGCGTCCACACGCTGAAACCGAATGGCTACGATTTGACATCACCATTAAATTTCAATATTGTTTTGCCCTATTGAGACACAGTTAATCGTTACAAACGTGTTTTTCCATTCTTAAATGTCTTTAAGAATACTAACTCAACTCTCTCTAACGATTTCATTTCAAAAGCGATGTATTTCAAACCAGAACCAAGTCTTTAGTTGCTATCATCACCGCCACAGAAGTGTCACATGAAAATATCGAATCTCTGATTGGCTGCTGCCAGTTAAAACGTCTCCGGGTTGTCCGAGTTGCTCCTCCGTTTTGAGCCGGGCTCTATCTCTGCAAATCATGTTGCAGCGCAAGGATCTAGGGAAACCTAGGGAATAACTCGCCAGCAACACCGAAATCGCTGGGAGACATTGCCCAGTCTTAAGCGGGCCTAAATCCGGCTTCAGGCAGGGCGATTTCTCCCAGCAACTCCATTCATAATCTAGGGAAAGCTAGGGAATCAGTCGACAGAAACAATAAAATTGCTGCGAAAGTTGCCGCCTGAAGCGGGCAATACGTTTGATAATGTCACTCTGATCGCAGCTGCGATCAGTGGCGAAGACTCTTACAAAGCGACTGCTGCCGTACCGTCACCGTCTCGAAACGGAGTGCTTCACACGTGAAAGGTAAACTTAAAAGCTGAAGTGTGAGATGCCGAGAGAACCTAGTCCGCGAGTGCGGGCAAAAGGACGACGCGCGTTGGGCGTGTGACCTCAAACACCCAAAAAACACGGCAACACTTTTCGAACGGGGCGGATTCGAGGATCCCGCCTATAAATCGATGTACCCCAGAAACTATGGCGCCCTTTTCATACCAAATTCAGCAGGATTATAGGAACATAAAATGGGTCCTAGCAGTATACCAATCTCACATTTTATGTTCGGCGTGTCCTAACCCCTTTACGTGCACATCAAGCCGACCGGTATATTTTTGCGCAACATATAACCTTTAGGTAATCTCATAAAAAATTTCCGTTTTAATGTAGTTTTTGTAATAAAGGAAATTTATAATTTATAATTTAAGACACCAACATGGGGAGGCTCAAAGATCTTCAAAATTCAAAACAGAACAATTAAAATATTTCCAAATCCAAGGTAGGGACAAAATATAAAACCGATCTCCTGATTTCCGTTGGCCTTAGCAGCTGCTTCCAAATTTTAGTCTCAATCATTAATGCGGATTGCCGAATAGTAAATCTTATACCACGTATGCAGAAAAAAAAAAGTGTTCTCCAAAATGTAAGGAATTATGGTATAGATGTTTTAACGTTTCATTTCACCCTAAGTCAGGGTGAAATCAAGGGTTAGAAGGCGTGCGTGCCCAGAGCTCGGACGGACATACATAAAAGAAGTAACACAGCCCTTTTGACTTGATTGTTTTAGCCGCTGAGAGTAGGCGCACAAATAGGCGACGGACACTGTAACGTTAAGATTTCTTTTACGTCAGGATCTTTTTTTTTTTTTCTTTTTAGATAGCAATGTCGTTTATGTTTTGGCCGGCAATGTATATGAAATGTTTCGGACACTAACGAAGCTATAATTTTTCGTCACTCGACTTTTCTATTGCTATTGTTATTATAGTGCGCTTATTTGAGTACTTTTCGTGTTCCAAAAATTAATACATGGACTTAAAATCAACTTGATTTCAAATTGGGGAGAGAAACCACTTTCTGAAAATTCCAAAAAGCAAGGTCAAAGCCCAAATTACTGAAATACTATAATGGCGAGAGCTGTGAAGGTTTTGTGTAAACGAGTTATGTGAACTTATACATACCGGAAACGCCCAAGAAGATTGTTGAAGCAAGGATCAATACTCTGCAATCCACTTTCATGGTTGTTAGAATATCTACAATGATAGGCGACTAGTCGGAACTGCAAGTCTGTGAAAAAATATTTATCCCAACTTCGGTAATGTGAAATTTAAAGCCCCCCATTTGGTTGATTACGTCATGCTGATCTTTGAAGCTAAGCGAAGGAATGTTTTATAATTTTATTTTATTTGTAGCTGCCTGAAAGTCTGAAGCCCCACGTTGTTGTTCGATCATAGCTGTCTAAAAAAACAGTATATTGTTTTCGTACGTGACCTTTGAAGGGCACGTACGATCTTTGTCAATGGTCACTTATCGCAAGCAAAAGAAACAACTGTTGGGCGCAGTTATCGCGGGGAAAAAGAAAAAAAAAAACTGGAAGCACGTTTGGACGAACGAACGTCGTTGTTCCGTACGGCGAACGTGAAACTTGGAGGTTTTGTTCATTTCCTCCAAACAAGATATTGCAGGATCAATCTAAGTTGTAATAAGTAATGACGGCGCGGGAGGGGGATGGACTGCTGATGCGCCCCTGTTATTTGATGTAGCAGCGTTCAATGCGTTTATTTGCAAAACGACTAACACATTTTCCATTCTTCATTTCAGTGCTAGAAGATCGCTCAGCAACGTTGATGAAGTTGAGTGTTTTGTTAATACCTCAGAAATGATATTTGATGTTTTAGCATTTACCGAAACTTGGTTTTGTAACAGTGATGTTTATTTAGATGGGTAGAGCTGTGAATATGTAAATCGACCCTAGAAGACCGGTGTTTGGGTGGCGTTGCACATAAAAAATATATAAATATTTATTTAATCACAAATTTCTCTGTATGAACCCCAGATTATGAATGTATCACTATAAACTGTCTAGGGATACTCGCTGTTCTTTTGCATCGCCCTTTTGATAGAAATAGATGACCACTTTTCTTAATTTGTTGGCTCTGTTTTACAATATGCGAGCACTCTTAGTCTCAAAATGATTCTTGTAGGGGAAATAAACAATGACCTACTCGTAGAAAATCCCCTGGAGATATAATTCCTAACTCTTATTCGATCATTAAGATGCTACAATCAAATTCAAATTTCCACCTGCGTAACATCCACTTCATCCAAATTATTAGATCTATACGTAGCAAACTTTGAATTAGACGGTATACTTTCAGCAGCAATAACCACTAAAATATGTGATGATATGCCCTTTTGATTTTTTATACCGCCGAAAAAAGTGCTATAAATAAACCGGTTTTACGAATGTACCGTTACATACCAGAGGAAGCATTGAGCACATTAAATGCCTCCTTACTGGACTACAACTGGGAAAATGTCTTGTGTGAAAGGAACCCATCAATATCTTATAAAGTTATTTACGAAACTCTAGAAAATGTGAGGAGGTGTCATTTCCCTCGCGATTAAAATAGCAAATGAAAAAAAAAATTAGTAAGAGTTGCATCAAGAAAGTATGTTCCGTAGGATAGAAGAAATAAATATTCTCGATTTATTCTAACCCGAGATACCATAAATTTAATGGAAATAAAAAAGAAATATGTTGAAATCTCTTCAACTCGAATATTCGAAAATCAAAATTAATTTTTCTTCAGACAAAGGTCACATACTTACAGAAGGATCAAAACCTAATATGGGAGTCGCTTAATGGAATTATTAGACATAACCGCGGCATAACGATCTCCCTGGTTTAAAAATCAATGATGAAAATTTATCACGTGCCTAACCAGCTAAAAGGATTAATCCACTTTTCTTCTTTCTTTTGTTTTGCGGCAGGTGAATTCCCGCTTACAAGTCAACCTAGCGATAATGCAAAAATACCTAAAATATACCCTTCCAAGTTCAATCGTTCTATGTCCTGTCACTCAACAGGAACTAATACTGCTTATAATGCCTCTAAAGATATTACAACATATGATGTCGATAACCTTAAAGTAGTGCCTATAATATTTTATCTCACATTATTTCACTCCCCTTCATATATGCAAATGTATCCTTGAAAATGATTTATTTCGTGATCAACTAAGAATAGGGTTAGTTTCAACAATCAGTAAGGGCGACTTCAAAAATGACTTTGGTAACTACAGTCTACTATCAATGTTGCCTCTGAAATCATAACTAGATCATAGAATTAGTAACGAACGATTCCGAAAATTGTTTGACAAGTACAATGACATATTCAAGCAACAATATTGTTTTATTATGGTAAAATAGGTGAATTGAAATTTTCCAAATCAAAGATACATAACTTAGAAAATCAACTCTTATTAATACATAACTTAAAATATCAACTCTTATTAATACATAACTTAGAATATCAACTCTTATTAATACATAACTTAGAAAATCAACTCTTCACAATTAGCTTATTTATCGATTTCCATAAAGCCTTCGACTCCATAAAACACAACCTTTTTCTTTCAACGCTCGAGGCATAAGGCACACGAACTTACCACTAATTTCATCACATCTTGTACACAAAATACAATCTATAATAACTCAAAATCACCTCTAGGATTATTAAAATATGGTGTGCCACAACGCTCGATATTGGGACCTTTGCTGTTTCTGATTTTTATAAATTATATACCTTATGTACCAGTTAGCGAAAATTAAGTATTATGTGCCGATGATACAAGCCCATTTTTTTCAGCGAAACGTAGCGAGCTACAGTGTACAGGCGAAAATTTTTTATTCGAACTCTCATCCTGGCTGATTACAAATGGTCTATCGTTAAAAACAAAAACTACAAAATATATACTATTTTCATCGGTGAAGAGGGCCCTCGATACAAATATTAATCTTCCATTCAAAAATACTCAAACTGAACGCGTAGATCATAACAAATTTATTGGAGTATGGTTTAATAAACATCTAAACTAGACTAAGCACGTAACACAAAAAAAAAAAACGAAACGAAATCTTAAAATCAGTTGGCTTGATTTCGTCTCCTAAATACCTCCTACCGGAATGGCTCAAGTACCAGCTCTATTATGCATTATATAGCCATGTCTACGACTGCTTTCATGTGTGGGGTAACACGAAAAAGAAAAACACATCTACATATTGCAGAAAAAAAGGCTGCTCAGTTACTCGATACCGAATTGGAAAAGCTAAATAAGAAATGGTTTATGGTATCCCACTATACGCTTATTGTACAACAAAAGTTAATTGTCATCCGCTAAGCCCAATAAACCCGATAATGTCACCAGTGACACCGCTAGACCGTCCGGACCAAAGCCCTTAGGTCTTTCGTTGCACCCCCCCCCCCCCCCCTTCATTTCCCGAGTTCGCAATTGTACTCATTTCACACATCACGAACCGCAGTAAAAAACGTGCGGCTCCTCGGGGAGGGTTACTAATTTCCTCCTTTATTTAGAGAGCTAAAATATATGTAGGTGCATGTTAGAGTAGATATATGTCGCCTTATGAAGAAGCAGAGATTTGAAACACCGAAAGCACCGCTTCTTCTCCGACAATCAAACCTTGTAAGAACTACTTCGTGCGACGTATGGACGATGCGTCAAACTTACTTTTTTCTTGAGCTGAAACCGAGCCCTATTGAAAATTTTTCTAAAGGGCCCCTCAGCCTTGAAGGATTATGGGACCTCACAGGCCTTCAAAACCCTTCAAAAATACCCAACACAAAAACCCTTCAGGGATGCCCCATAGAAAAACCCTTTAGCCCCACAGCCCTTCAACCCGTCAGACCCTTTAGCCCATCACCCCTTTAGACGCGCAAATGACTGTGAACCATAGACAAAATGCAGTCCAAAACATTATTCAAAATTTATTGCAGACATTTAGTTTTACATGCATATTATAACTCAAAAAGGTGATAAAAAACAACGTTTGTTGAAACCCGGCGCAAGGAGCGGTAGACGAAAGAGATCACATCAAACAGGGACAACTGACTTCTTTATCACAAAGAAAAATATATTTCGAAGTACTCACATTGCCGCTGGGTATATTCCTGATGTGCGGTAGTTTAGCTAACAAAACCGAGCAGGTGCACCTCACGTACACATACACAGTCTTAGTAAGCGCGTTTAGCGAAAACCACAAAGTCGCAAGCGCTAGCACCCGCCGCCGTTGAGAAATCCCGAGCACAGTCACGGTTTCGTCCATGATGACAATACGCCGGCGTCTTCGGCGTATTTTTCGCTCGCTGGATGCTTCTGAAGTCGGACGGACGAAGAGGCGCAAAAACCAAGTCTGGACAGCGACCGTCATCCACCGTCTCAGGGCCCACAGCGCCATAATCCCGGTGCGCAGGCACAACATGCGGTGGGACGCTGACCCCGACTGCCAGGCTTTGCAGCGAGTAAGCCGACACCGGCCACCATCTCCTTGAATGCGCTGAACACGACGGCGCTCGAACGGTGCTGAAGGCGGCCAGCGCCGAACTATGGTGCACCTGCGGAACCAAGGAAGAATCAAAAGAGACCAAGGGGCGAGCCCTGAAAGGCATGCATGCTCACCTTGCTGGAGGAAATTGGTCCGCTCCAAAAATCCGCTGTGTGGGCTAACCGGAACTGTGCACGAGCAGAGAGAAAATGGCTAAACTGGCGGCTGGCCTCCCCCGCTTGCACACACCACCCTCTCCCGCCGACTGCTGGGCTGGCAGCCCTGCACCCTCTCCCCATCGCCGGGCGGAAAGAGGGGCAGTGTGACTTGCTTTTGGGGACCGTCTCCCGTGGAAGAACCGGTTCCCGGAACGAGTCGCTCCCGCGTGGGTCCCTCTTTCTGGAAAGCGCGCAGTGCTGTCAGCTTGTTTATTTATTTTTTTTATTTATGGTTCCACGGATTTCGTCTCCAGCGGACAGGATTGCGTTCGCCTCAAAACGCCGCTCGGTCAACGCCACTCGGCCAGCGGCTCGTTGATTCTCTACGTGGGGCGGTCGCCCTCAGTGGCCTCCTTGGCGACCGAACCCCCGGGCAGTGACAGACGGCCCACTCGTATTTGATAGAAGAGCAGCACTACAAATGTGACCGTACATACATACGATCGGCATTCTCCAAATACTTTTTTCCCCGTA